ATTATGATAGACTGATTAGGCAATGCAGCTGATTACACATAATACAGAGTTGCTGTTCAAAATACAGAACTTCAACGTCACAAGAAACTCTAACCTATATTCATTATGTCTGGATTTTTCATTTTTTGCTTATAATTTTGCCTTACATTGATTTTGATTATTAGTAATGTAGGAAACTCCCCAAGCCACTGCATATCAGAACAAATTCATTGAGAATTGGGACGATATTTGTACTTTGTTTGCTTCGGATAGAGCAACTGGTGACAGAGCTCAGCATCATAATGAGGCTGCTACTGCAATGGACACAGAAATTGAAGGGGTTAGTACCTCCGAGGCTTCTTCTGGAGGATCAAACAAGAGGTTCAAGAGAGATCATATAGCAGATGCATTGAGTTGTTTTGCAGAGTCGTTCAAGGAGTATGTGAGCAGAGCGCAAGGGCCACCGAAACCAAGTTCACAAGAGATCTACGACGTAGTCTCGAGTGTACTTGGGATCTCACGTCACCAAGTCCTAAAAGCTGTGAAAAGGTTCATGAATGGGACGGTTGATGAGTTCGAAATGTTAAAAAAATCTACCGGAAGGGGAAAAATTAGATTGGTTTAATATGTATTAATGATTAGCATCTTTATTTAGATGTTTGTGAACTAAAACTACTAGCTAGATGTTGATAGGTTGTCTTTTTGTTTAGAGTTTGTTAGCAAAATGTACCTTGGTTTGAAATTCAGGATTTGAAATTCCTTGTATTTCCAAACAGCTATTAGAATTTGATATTCAGCATTTGAAATTCCTTGTCTTGCCAAACAATTTTTAGAATTTGAAATTCAAAATTGTAAATTCTTAACTTTCCCAAACATAGGACTTGGAATTAAATTCTAGCAATTGAAATTCGAGAATTGAATTTAACAACCTTAAGTAAATTATTAAAGTAAGCTCACTGTAATAATCTCATTGATCCAGAATTAGTACCTATCCTCTTTAGGTACTAATTAAAATCATTATAATTTGTTCATTTTGTACTAAATGTTCAATTTTAAACTATTTACTGCTTCTCAACTTCCCTTCCTTCAACCAAGGCCTTTTATTTTCACGTCATTTCTACTACGTACCAATACGCAGATACTTCATTCCCTATCATTTAAAAGCCCCTGTATTTTTTAGTATAAGTCCAAGTGCATTTGGTATAGAGTATAGGCTATAGAGAATGCACTCATATGTATAGTTAGAGTGTATCAACTACCTTGTTGGATCTTTCCATAACCGTTGAAAAGCTATCTAATTTTTGTTATTCAACTTTCGTAGATGTTTTAAAATTTTCAAAATGTTAAGAAATACTTCCTCTATTCTTTTTTACTCGACCTGTTTTTTTTTATCACGCTTGCCAATACAAAACTTTAACGATCAATAAATTTAATTCTTAATAAATTAAAATTATAAAAGTTTATATTATGATAATGCTTATTGAGACGAATTCGAAAAGATCCTACATGAATATGTTTTTCCTTACATATTATTCATAAAGATGGTCAAAGGAGGGGTTGTGAATAGTGTAATAGTCAAACCGGGTCAAGTAAAAAAAAAAACAGAGGAAGTATCAAAGATATTGGCACAATCTTAAGTTACAAGGTAACTAGATTAGACCCGTGTGATGCACAGATTGAAAAAAATTATTAAAATGAAATAAATTGTTTCTATTTATTATTTCCCGTACATACTTATAATTAGATCATAAAAACATATATTTCATCATAAATTACTAAGTAACAAAATATAAAAATGAAATCCAATCTGATTTAATCAAACCATATGCATACGAATTTATAAATCTAAGAGTTCAAAATACAAATTAAAAATACATGTAACTTAAATAAATTGAAGCGATGTAATAAAAAAAAATGAAGCACCTTGGAAATACTGCGAAACAATGGTAACATTTAATGACAACATTAGTTCATTTTTGTATAACAAACATCCATATTATTATTACATGACTTCATAGGTAGGTTGCTTGCACAATCCTTAGTTTACACACACAAATAACAGTAAAACCTTTAAAAGAAAAAAAAAAATTAAAAATGTCGTAGTTACCTAAAATGTTTTAGCTCAATATCAATTTTATTTATTCCAACCAAAAAAAATTATTTATTTATTTATTGACACAGTCAAATATTGAAATATAAATAATTAAAAATAACCAATTTCTATTAAAAAAAACCAAAAATATATATGACATCATAAGGGCATTAGGCGGGAATTTTTTTATGAGAAAGCGACACGTATACAGTTTGAGGAGAGGATGATGTCAACAATTTTCTGTTATAGTAATAGTTAATAGAATAGATTTTCTTCGCTCAAACTATGTCAAAGCTTAAGTTACAAGGTTTACCTATCTCAACTGTATATATCCTCTAAATTTCAAATGCCTCCTAATTTTGACAACAAATAGATTAATTCGGATATTATTCCCAAAGTAACCAACACTATTTCTTCCCTCACCAAATAAATATAGCCCCACTCTTTTATATGGACCTCATGTAGATGATCTTATTCGTAAAGGATAGAAATATTCACCCCTTTTTTTTGTTGTATTTTTTGAACACCAAAATTCCAATTATATACAGAGAATAATGCCAAAACCAGCCAATGATGGGAGCCCTAGAGAATCTAGGGGACCCTTAATGTTTGAAGGGCATATTGACTAGAGCTGGCAAATAGTTCATTCGGGTCGGGTCACTTTCAGGTCGGATCATTTGGGTCAGCTAATACACGGGTCGGGTATGAGTCGAGTCGATTCGAGTTTCGGGTCAACTTCGGGTCAAGTATGTTCAGGTCATATTTGGGTCAAGTCAAAATCTGGTCGGGTCATGTTCGGGTTGTTTCATTTGTGAATCAAGTTCAAATGAATAATTTTATACGGAGTATATATTTTGTTATGGTTATAATAAAAACTATCAATTCAGTTTATGAGCTTAGCTACGGTTGAAGATAAACAATTTGAGTTACTTTTGGTACAAGACATTTTAAGTTCAATTATAAGGTAATTTTAGTTCGGGACATTTAAGGTATCGGGTTTGTTCGAGTCAATTTTGGGTATCGGGTCTGTTCGGGTCAAACACTTTGGGTCAATTTCGGGGCGGGTCAACTTCAGGTCGGGTCAGTTTGGGTGTTGGGTCAGGATCGGGTCAACTCCATTTTTGGATAGGGTATGGGTCGGATTGGGTCAATTTCGAATTTCGGGTTATTTTTGGGTGAATTTCGAGTCATGAATTGAGTCATTCGGATCGGATCGGATCATCGGATCTGGATCAGGATTGCCAGGTCTAATATTAACCAGCCCGAATTGTCACATTTCTGCTTTCTCCCAATCTTCTCTTTTTCTTGGACTTTTAAGTTGGTCTTGTTGATTGATATTATTTAGTGGTAAAATTATTACTAGTAAACTAAAAAAAAACTCTCAATCCCAAATCCCAATATTTTTACGTTGTTGATGGCCTTGATGGACTCCATGTAAAAGAAGTTGTTGCAAACTTGCAATGTATACTCCACTGTTGAGAACAAATATTTTTATTTTGTAATATATCGGTGTAACATTAAAATAAAAGTACTCTATAGCTACTTGATTCAATTTGAAACCAAATGTATGTTTAAGAAGTAATTAAATAAAGGGTGATGAATTTTGAATTACTATTTCTTTTACATAATTACATTGTGAGAAATTAGTTACAATACATGAAAACATTGAATAATATTTTCTTTTAAATATATACCTCATTCGTTTTATGTCATTTAGATTTGTTGTGTATACATATTACAAGGAAACTTAATAAAGTTACACAAATTGATGCAATGATTAGTTTTTGAAGAGAGATATAATAAGAAAACTAATCATATAGTAAGTCAAAACCCGTCAAAAATAATATAGTAAGCCAGCCAAATTGAAGTAAAATAATACTTCAATATACTTTTTTTTTTTTTGGTTGACAAAAAATTAAATGAAGTTAAAGTGAGAAGAATTTTATAAAACAACTTAAACAAAAGTGGAAAAATTAAAATAAAGCGAAGAGAGTATTTAAAATATATGCGATCAAAGATTACTATCCATGTATAAGTACTTAATAACACGAAATACATTATTTAGGAAACTAAATAAATTATGAGTACTTGAAAATCTAAACACAAACATAGAGTCATAATAATAGAATCTTGGTTGTGAATTGTAATGTTGAGGTTCAAAGTTCAATAATAGTAGATTCTAAAAAATTGAGAACCTGAACCGAAACATGTAGCAACGGTTCTCAATTTTACTACCGGAATCTTTTATTGAAATTCCGATTGTAAAATGCCGTTCTTAACAACTCAAAAATTAACAAACCTAACAAACAACTCAAAAATTAACAAACAAAAAACAAAAAAAAAAAGAGAAAGAAAATTAAAATCAAGAAAACACACATTAACACCGAAATTGGATGTTAATTTCTCATCGAATTTGGTTTAATACGGCCAAATTCGATCACGAAACCTCTAGATGTAGAGGTTTCATGGTCGAATTTGGCCGTATTAACCATGCGACGATGCCGGCGAGAAGGAAGACAGACAACACCTCCAAGAAGCGTAGGTTGCGTAGTGGTGGTGGTGTTGGTTGTGCAGCGGCGTGGGTTTTGTTGTTGGTGTAAGAAGGAGAAGGAGAAGATAGGAGAAGTGAGAAGGAGAAGAGAGGAGAAGAGAAATGACGAGAATGGCGGAGGAGAGAGAAGGAGGGAGGAAAGAGAAGGAAAGAGGAAAGGAGTTCATAGGAAAGAGGAGAGGAGAAGAGAGAGAAAGAGAAGAGAGGCGGAGAGAGAAGAGGAGAGGAGAAGGGGAAAGTGAATTTGTAAAAAAAAAAACTCAGTAAATACAAACCGCTACTTGAAGTAGCGGCTTTTAATAAGAAAACCGCTACTTGAAGTAGCGATTTTATTCAGTACACCGCTACTTCAAGTAGCGGATTGTAAAAAAAAACGGTTTAACAAAATTTCCCATTGAACCGAGGTGACGTGGACGGTACAATGGGAATAAAAAAAAATAGTTGTATTTTGAGAACTAGAAAAATTTCCAACATTATTTAGGGAAAGCGTTCAGAAAAAAGGGAGAAAAAACCTATCTTCGTTTTTAAAGTATTTTAAGATATTGAAATTCCAATCTTATACCCGTCATTTCAAATTCCAATATTCATAGTAAAAGCCCAAGTCTCTCTCTCCTCCATTGTAGCAGATTCCTCCGTTAAAGCAGCTTAGCAAGCTCTCTCCGCCATTGAAGTAGACTAGTGAGCTCTCTCCTCCATTAAAGCTCTTTCTCCTCCGTCGAAGTGTAGCAGCGGCGCGTGTGAGCTTTTTCTCCTCCATTGAATCGGCTTCTGAGGTAGTTTATCTTAAATAATCGAATATCAAATTCATAATCTAGGGTTTATCGATAATTGCTGCTGAATTTTTTGCCCTTTTTTTGTTCATTTTTTACTATAAATTTAATTGATTTCTGGGGTAAAACGCTAGTATTTAAGCGCACTCTAGCTGTTCGATGAAATGCTGAAGTGAGAAATTGTTTACAAACTAGTATCTCTGCTCTCTGAATTGTAATTATTCTGCCTGTTAATAACTTATATTGTAATTATTCTATGATAAAAATTGTGTTTTTGCCCCTGATTATATGTTGTCATTTGAGCAATGTGATTTTGTGCTTTCTGATTTGTTGGTGTCAGGTGGTTTTTTTTTGGGATGATGACATTGTTTTTGTTCCTGAGGATTTGGTGGGTGTTTTGTCTAAGTATGACATGAAAAGTAGTACTCGTATAACATTGGGAGTAATTCCGAGAGTGGTTGATTAAGATTAGTTGTATCTTCTGTTTGTTTACACTAATAGCCTATTACAATGTTGATATTTGGTTACAATGTTCTGTGCTCCCCAAATGCTGCTGGATTGCATTGTGCTCTGGTTTGGCTCATTTTAGGAATGTTGGAAATTTGACTGTTCTTATTTGAAATGCTATGATCACAGATCTGTTGTTTATATTTTGTACTAGCTAGTTCTAATATTTTGGATGAAGTTGCACTATTGTATGTAATGAATGTCGTAATGGCCATGATTGTTGATGTAATGCATGAAATGCCAGGCCACTTCCAAAATGAATTCTTGTGCCACGGGAACCTAACTTGTCATGATTTTGTGCTTTGATTTGTTGGTGTTAGGTGGTTTGGTTTTGGGGATGATGACACGTTTTTTGTATCTTGACTGCGTATACAGACTTATTCAATTATCATGGAAGATGCGGCAAGGAGAAACAGTTCTATCCAACGATTCAGAACATCGATTCCTCCCAGTGCTGGACGTGAAGATAGGTTCTTGTTCAATGTTGATTTAAAACAAGAAAATGATGCATCTAATCAGATTTTACGCAAAATTTTAGAGTCGGTAGACTTCAAGATAGTTGGTGCACTAGAAAAGCTAGAAGAAGTTGAGGCATGGAGAGCAGAATCACTCTCAAAGATGGTGCTTACAGAAAGTGAACGTGCACAACCTTCGCCACTAAGGACGGAAGGGTTTGATAATCATAATCGACAAGTTTTCTACTTGAAGGTGATGTTGGTTGACAAAAAACGTGACACTAACATCCTTTTAAAGGTTTTCTGCACTGAATTAGGAAGATTAATGGAACAGTGCAAAGATTTCTTTTTGGTCGTCGATTTCACTGGCGGAAATACTCATATGCAAAGGGTGCATGTTCATGAAGCTCTTAACATAATTCAAAAATATTATCCAAGATTTATTATGGATGAGGTATGTTATTTAATTAACAAGTATTATATGTTGTGTTTTTCTTTTTAAACGTGTTAATAATATATATATTTTTCTTTTCTCATGTTCTGTTGGTGAAGCTCTACATCGGTGAGTTTTATTATAGTATTCCTTTGAACATGGCCAAGGGCAAGTATATTGTATCTTTAGACCAGGCTCCAAATCAACTTTTCAGGTACAGTAAGTTTTTTTTTTTTTTTTTTTTTTTTTTTAATTTTATATATATATATATATATATATATATATATATATATAAGCTTTTACATTTGTGTTTTTCAACTTTATCCTTACGTTTTTTTTATTTTTTTATTAGAATTATTCCGGCTCATCACGTCCCCGTTGAATATGGAGGTATTCCTTCCATCGTCCCCGTTGAAGGACAAGAAAAGGTAGACTCGGGGCATGTCGACATTGTTCATGGTGAAAGGAGAAAACTTGAGCTACATTGTTCAGAGGTAACACTACTATATATTCATTTAATCTATTCACTATCACACTTAGAAATAATTGCAAGTTCAAACCATCACCTATGTAGGTAGTCGTATTAAACTACTAATCAAAGCAAGAGTTTTAGTCCATAATTTCTTTTCTTTAGTCCATGGTAGACTCTATCAATAATAGTCACTGCATAACACAAAGAAGAAAATCACAATTATACTCAAGACTAAGTGTGCCTAACATCACCACTAAATAGGCAAAATAAATGATTAACACACCATGTATATTTGTGCAATGTAAATAACAAAAAGCAAGATTAATATAAGTATAGAATTGAACCAGTTGAATCAATAATCTGAATATTTATAATCTGAATGGTTTATCCATAGTTTGAAAAATGGATCAAAATCAATTTTTTCGTGTTTATTAAACTGTTATTTTAAACAATGTGATGGATAACAAAAACCTGAAATTGTATGTGAACTAGGTAAGACAGAATATATTTCATAATTATAATTCATAGTCATTTGTAGGTGACAAGCTTAAATATATAGATGATAGATCGTACACGAAAGATGTTAAAAAGCGCACTCGTAATACTCAATTGGTTACATTTCCTTTGACCAAAATTACTGAAAATATATGATCATAACAAGAGTATTTATAAAGTTATGTTCTTGGCGTATAGACTAGATGATACAGTATAACTATGGTGTAATTCACTCATTCAAAAACGTGCCAATGAGAGAAAACTTATTTACCTATTTTAATTTATGGGCCTGTGATATTTTCTTCTTTTGTTTAATTTGTATTTTATTTTTTATCTTACTTTTAGGCTGAGATATATAGTTTGGGTTTGACACTTGGACTAGTAGGATGTGGCCATGTCACTGTTTATTATTTTGTTGTTTTTAGCTTGTGCTATAATGAGATGGACAAATATGGATGTTTTGATGAGCGGTCTTGTCTAATGATTCTAGGATTGTCCATGATTTTTGGTCGGGTTTGAATACCTAATAATATCATCGATTCTGTCATTCTGATGCTTGATAAGTGTTAGATTTAAAAATCTACAATATTGTGGACCTATTAAAGATCAAAGCACTGAATGCTTGACTCCATGATGTAGTTGTGGTGGTTATTGAGATTCATTCTATGAGTGTAATATTAGGTAATACTGTAATAGGATTAAGGTAGATAAATATGATTAGGAGATATAATAATTTAGGAATCTTGTATGATTAGAAGAGTTTGATTGGAAAACAAAAATTGTGAACATACAAATATGTGATTGATTAATGATAAAGTGTGACTAATATTGAGATTAATGAAGATATATGATCATAGCAAGAGTATTTTATACGATTATGTTGTTGGCGTATATCCTAGATGATATAAATATGGTCTAGGGAGTACTTCACTCATTCAAAATCACAAGAATTTACCCAGCAAAAAAGAGATTTTAAAACATTTCTACAAGTAATTGCTCACTCACCTAAGCACCCTCCTCATATCAGGGTATACCTACAATTTAATGTACTACACACCTAACACATGTATGCTTTAGATGAGTTAATACAAAATTACAGGGAGTATCTTATTTGATTTTTTTGGAGGAAGAGTATCTTATTTGATTAATTTTTTTCTATAGTTTTTTTTTTTATTTTTTTTTATTATTATTATATTTTTAGAATTTGTTAATTACTTTAATAATTATTTTTTTATAGGGGTCTATAGTGACCGTCCGAGCACGAGTGGTTGGGTGGGAGGTTTCTTTCGGTGCAAGGCTTGTGCCGACAGACCCATCCGTCCGACCTACCATTTACCCCCTTCTTCTACGCGAGTTCAACTTTATGCCTTCAGACAGCGATGATTACGAGGAGATGATTTTAGACAATGTTCCCTTCAATGGCAAGATTTGTATTGAAGTTGAAAACAGTAGTTTTAAAACAAAAAAATTAGTGTATTTGTGTTTTGCCCGTAGGCAGAGTAGTTAGTGTATGTGTGAGATTTGATTTTAATTAGTATCTTATGTTTTATTTAGGTACCCACTTGGTTTTATCCTACGTTGGTTTTACAAATGGGTTTTATTTATTGTATTGTGTTATTGAACTTATTTTAGATGTTATGTATTTTATTTTAACTGGTTGTTAAAAACTTCATACTAATTATTAAGGAGATGTGTTAATTATAATCATTTAGTTTGCAACGTTAGGCTAAAACATTAATTAATCATCTGGTATTTTTTTTTTTTTAATTATTTTTTTTATTTTTTATTTAAAGGTAAGATACAATGGGAGATTAGGTTCGTCTTCTCGTAATACCGAAACCTAATCTATTTAGAAATAAAAAATAAGAAAATTTGCTATCCATGAAGGGTCAATATCTTGGTGTATTGGGGTTGAATAACCTAGAGAAGCGAACATAATCTGCTGCTCAATTTCCTTCATGATAAATATGCTGGGAGTGAAAGGTCGAAAAAGACTCCAAAATTTTCTTGATATCGTTCATAAGCAAATGCAGCTTCCAAGGACACTTGAAATGACCCTGCAAAATATTGATTACCATTAGATTATCACCTTCGATAAAAATATGGGAAATATTGTGAGCCCTACCTAGCAATAATCCGTTACGAAGAGCAATGATTATCGCTAAAAAGGCAGGACAGGAGCCTAAATTATAAGTACGACTAAGAATGTGATTGCCAAGATCATCTCTTAAAACCACACCAGCCATAGACAAATTATTAGGAGCAGAGCCATCAAAGTTGAGTTTACATAACCTAACAGGGGGAGGAGACCAACTAACAAAAGAAGGGACAGGGTGGGGAGCGAGGAGGGCAAGGGATTGATGATTGAAGATCATCCAAACTAGAACGGGCCTGTCATTCCTGAAATAGAGAAAAGGTACGGAAAAAACGTTATTAATATTAGGTATTGAAGTTTTAAAAATAACAGCATTACGACATTTCCATATACTCCAAAATAAGAAAGCAACTTTGGGAGTAGCGCAGCGAGAAGAATGTTTAAGTGAACGGAAAAGGTCATTGATCGACTGAGTGGATAAGAGAGGGCCAACCAAGTTATGCATAGCTTCAGAAGAGAAAAGGTCAACTAAGAAAGGAAGTGAGGAAAAGATGAGCCTAATTCTCTAAGCAGAATTACAGAGAGCACGAGAGGTAGGAACCTGTTAATATTACGAGACGACAAAGTGTGTCTACTAGGCAGACTATTAAGTAGAATTTGCCATAAAAAAACTGAATTTTAGGAGGGATATCCTGCTTCCAAATCCAATGAAATTCCCATTTTGAGGGAGACATAAAAGGAGAATGGGCTAACCAAGTAGCAGATTTAACGGTAAAATTACCATCTTTTGACAAACCCCAACAAGGTTCATCCAGAACAGGGTAAGACGGGAGAGGAATACCTCGTATAGTCAAAACAAGCTCAGGTGGAAGGAAAGACTCCAGGAGAGGAACACTACTAGAAAATAGGCTATTTCCAACGGAAACACCCCGAATTCCGTCGGAAAACACGTTTCTGACGAAATTTCCGTCGAGACTGGTTGTCGAAAAAGGTTTTGTAGGAAAAATGACTTTTTCTGACGGAAATTTCGTCGGAAAAAAGGTGTCGGAAGAGATTTTCTGGCCCGGAAAAGTCCGTCGGAAATTTCCGACGGATATTGTTCCGCCGGAAAATTCCGTCGGAAAAGTCAATAAAAAAAGGATAATTTCTAAATTACTACCCGTAAAATACACTGGTTTTGAAATAACTACCCGTTTAATTTTTTATTTTATTTTACCACCCCTTAAATTAAATAATCACTCGGATTACCACCCATTTCAAAATTGCGGCGGGTTTTTCGTTTGTAGGCCCCACCTAACGGGTGGTAATTTAAAAATTTGACCCGTATTTTCATTTTTTCCCTCGATTTTTCTCTCTCCATCTTCCTACCTTCTTCAACCTTCAATCCTCCATTTTTCTCTAACCTTCTGACAAATTCTTTTTCTCCCTCCTCCCCCACTTTCTCTCTCCTCCATTTTTCTCCATTTTTCTTCTGAATTTTTTTTTATCAAACTCCATGCTCAAGTAATGTTGCTCCCCAAACTCCCCTGTTTCACCAACCAGCCACATCTCCCCGGTATTCTTCACACAACAACAACAACCATCTTTCCCTGCTCCTTTTCACGCACCTCCCAATTGCCATCTTCTCTTAAAACACCACTATCCCCATCAGCCTTAATTAATCACAGCAGCGCCACCCCACAACCCACGCAACTCAAACCTCCACTCAACTCGCTGTCCAAAACAGCCCCCTGCTTCACCTCGCAACCTTCATCCTCACGCAAACAACACCAACCCACCCATCTCCTCCACCTCGCACAGCCGCACCAGCCACCGCAAGAAGCGCAATCAGTTTCGCTGCTCCGATTTGACCCACATATCAGCCGCTCCACAATCACAAACACCACAACAACGACAAAAATTGGCGGTAGCCTAGCAAAAATCACAGCCTCACTCGCCACCATTCGCCACCAACAGAAGCTCCTCACGGCAGCACCAATCGCAAATCACAACCAGCCCACTTCAATTAAGATAGCAGCAGCCCGTCAATTTCAGCATACAAAGCCCCAATTCAATTGATTATCAACCTAATTTCCCCAAATTTAAGTTTTATTTTCCGATTAATTTGTAGGACTATTCTTTAGTAATTACCCTAAATTCAATCCTAAATACAACATCAATAGCAACAACAAGAAGATCAGTGGGGTCGGCTAATTTGATTTTTGCAATTTGAAGATCAATTACAAAAATTGCAAAAATCGATTATTGTTAGTTGAATTCTGCAATTTGATTATTGTTATTTTCTGATTAATCTCTACAACTGAAGGCGGTGTGCGGTTGAAGGCGGTGGTCGATGAGGGTTTGTTGAGGGCAGTGAGATGTGTGTGGAGGGCAGTGAAGTTGAAGGCGGTGGTCGGTGGTCGGTGGGGTGTGTTGAGGGTGGTGGGGTAGATTGCAGTGGCTAGTGGTGTATGTTAAGGGCGGTGAGGTTGATTATGGTGGCAGTCCAGGAAATTGGTGGGTGGTGCTGCCGGTGGGGAATTTTAGATGAAGAAGAAGAGGAAGAATTTGGAAGTGAGCTTGAAATGGAAGGTAGGAAGAAGGTTGAAGAAGGAAAGAAGAATGGAGAGAGAAAAAATCGGGGTGAGAGAGAGGGAAATCAAGAGAATGGAAGAAAAAAAGGAAGAAAATAAAAAAAGTGGAGCCCACTGTCGGAAATTTGAAAAATGTGGTAATCTGCGCGGTTATTTAATTTAAGGGGTGGTAAATAAAAAATAAAAATTAAACGGGTGGTTATTTCAAAAACAGTGTATTTTTACGGGTGGCAATTTAGAAATTTTCCATTAAAAACAAAAAAAAAAAAAAAAAAACAGCCCCACCCCTAAACCGTACCCCCTGCGCTCCTAAGCCACCATCAAGATTCACCCCACCAACACTGTTATTCACCCACCACCGCCGCCTAAATTCACCCCATCACTATCAAATTAAACCCCCCACCACCACCCAGATCCACCACCAAAACCCGTAACCCACCTAGATCCACCACCAAAACCTGTAACCCATAGCCCAACCACACCAGCCCTTATCCCACCTTCACACACCACCACCGACACCACCCAAAATTAACCCCACCTTCACACACCACCACCGACACCACCACACCAAAACTTAACCTAAAAAAAACGAAACTGAGCAAAAAAAAAAAAGCAAAAAATCAAAAATTAACCCCAAAAATACGAAAATTAACACAACAAAAACGAAAAATACCACAAAAAAAAAATAAAACCAGTAGATCTATATATTTAATTAGAATTTCATAAATTTTTTTCTTAAAAAAATGATAATAAAACAACAATAATTAAAGGAAATATAAATATACAATTATCTAATAAAATTTATAAATTAACATTACAATTACATAAAAATTAACTAGATCTACAATCAACAAAAAAATAATGAGAATAGGCAACACACAGAATTGCAACAATTTTACAAATATTGCCTTTTATTACAAAAGGTAACAAAACATGTTTGTTACCTTGATCCTAAACAATGTACACTGCACTCCTATGCAACGGTTCAAAAAGTGTTGCTTTAGACTATGTAAGACAACAATATGTAAAATGTAGCCCTTTTATTTTTTACATAAGGCAACATTTATTTCAAATGTTGTCCAAAAATATAACAACAATAAAATTGTTTCCTATGTAACAATTTTAAAAACGTTGTTTCAAGATATAAAAGATAGTGATTGTTTCATGTGTTTCCATTGCCTTATGTAACTGATTAGAGTCTTATGGGGAAAATGCGAATGATGTGAATAAGGTATGATAGCAAAGAGTCAAGTTTACTGAGAGTATTTGACTTCATAATTTCACACGGCAACTTGAATTAGCATAGCAGTGAAGTAGAATCAGTCCAGACAATAGAGATATTTGTAGCTTTCAGAAATGAATTAACACTTTGACCAACAAAAAATAGAACTAATAGTATTACACAAAACTGCAACATACGAGTAATTTATTATCTTATTCACAGGCATACCGACTAAAATGACAGTAATTAGTACATCAATTACTTAAGAGCATGACTATCTTTTTTATTTAAAAATAAGAAGAGATCACAGAGAAGACTAATTCTAGTATTCTACATTGCTAGCAGCTTAAAACTTGCACTTTTTCTTCGTAGTACCCTTCTTTTTAAACGTCTTACAACTTCTTCCACTTTCCTGTCAAGAACAAAATCAAGCATTGGTCATCTTCCCTAAAGTGCAAATAGTATGACTAACAATGTTGTGGTGTTTCATTCACTTTCACTGAATTCTAGCAGGAAATAAAGGGAGAATTTTCATGGTACTAAGATATATGACAGCAAAGCTTAAAATATTTAGTAACATGAGCAGAGTGACATATCAGAACAATTTGGTTATAGATACCTTTCTATAATGTCTGTAGGCAATTTGACCTGTCAGTTCTTGTCCATTTTTAGTGGTATACACCTGAAAAAGATTCACACAGCAGAATAAAGAGGTGAGCTCATTGACAGTAATCACAATCAAAATAATTGGAGATAATGTTACAAATTCATGCTAACCAAATTGCTATTAATAGACACAATTATACAACACACAGAA